CAGTGCATCCCGTGGCAGCTTGTTGACAGATTATACTAGAAAGTTTTATCTCCTGTGGCACTTACTCCTGAGTTATTACGCTAACCAAATAATAATCTGCGCGATGATGCTGATGAAATATAGTCGGTTTGCTTTGGTTGTATATCGTCAAAGTATGTGTCTTGTTTATTTTAATTAGCTAATTCTCGAGCTATAAGGCAGTAATGTAGTGTCTCACTATGGTGCAGAAGAAACGTAAAGCTGCTCTGATTGGTTGCTCGGGTTCTCACCAGTGTTCTCGTGCTCTGATTGGTTAATTTATTGTAGCGCCATGGCCAGGAGAAATTTTATTGATTGGTCATCCAGATAAACCTTTGCTGAATCCTTTATCATTCATATATAAATTCATATATACATGTATACTTAAAAAAAAAAAAAAAAATTCTGACCATTAAGTAAATGATGCTATAATGCTTATCCTATAACTTTTATTCATGGAAATAATACCAGTATTTAAATGAAATAACAGCGTTAGTAAATTAGAAATAGCGTTAAAATTCCTTTTTCCGCTCTTTATGATTTTGACCTGGTAAAAAGCTAAAGTCAGTATATGGGCACTATGACTTTATTTGCCTTTTGCTTTCTTCCATAAATTATATTATTTAGATGAAACAAAAGTATCAATATTTTTTGCTTTTTTTATTGACAGGATCATTCAATGGAGCCCTTAGTAGTGTACCTCTCAATGATTTGGGGACATTAGTCATTAAAGATGTGCTTAAGAGGGCCAATGTGAAGCCAGAAGAAGTCTCAGAGGTCATCATGGGTCATGTCCTCACTGCAGGTATAGCACCTCATGTAGAATACTTCGCCTACTCACCACCATATAAATACAGAACTCATCAGTGAGAGTAATGCACAAAGCTCAAGTTCACTTGTGGATTGATAGTCTTCTCCTACATGTACTTAAGGTCATGGGCAGAATCCTGCCCGGCAGGCAAGTGTTGCTGCTGGTATCCCATACTCAGTGCCAGCATGGAGCTGTCAGATGATCTGTGGATCTGGCCTGAAGGCTGTGTGTCTTGGTGCTCAGTCCATCATGACTAAAGAATCCACTTTAGTAGTAGCAGGAGGCATGGAGAGCATGAGTCGGGTAAGACAGCTGTCAGGAGCACTTCTGTTATCTTTAAGTAAAAAGTGATGATGCAGCACTTTGTCTGTCAGGCTCCTCATATAGTGCAGATGAGGTCAGGGGTGAAGATGGGAGATTCTACCTTGCAGGACTCCATACTGACTGATGGACTCACAGATGCCTTTTATAATTACCACATGGGAGTCACAGGTAATTTCTTAAAACAGACGGCCTACCTTTATTGTGTGCTTTAATTGGGCAACTGATCTAGCTGTGGTCATGTGTCTGTGTTAGCTGAGAATGTGGCCAAGCAGTGGGGGGTGTCCCGTAAGGCTCAGGACCAGTTTGCCGTGACGTCACAGAACAGAACTGAAGCAGCTCAGAAGGCTGGAGATTTTGACCAGGAGATTGTGCCAGTTACTGTTCCTTCTAGGAAAGGTAAGAGGCTCATTGTATTCAGAAATATGATTTTATTTTTCAATATTTATATATTATTTTATTTTTCAGCATCTCAATAAATATTTAAACACTACCATTCAAAAGTTTGGGGGTTGATATATGTATATGTATATATATATATATATGTGTGTATGTATGTGTATATATATTTTACATTTTTGAAATAAGTCTCGTATGGCCACAAAGCTGCATTCATTTGATAAAAAAATGCAGTAAAACCAGTAATATTGTCATTTTAGTGTCACATGATTGTTCAGAAATTATTCTAATATTTGAAAATGACTCACCAAAAGCTGACTTGATGCTTAAGGAACATTTCATAGTATCAATATTGAAAACCGTCATGCTGCTTAATATTTTTGTGAAAACCAAAACAAATAATTCTTTAAATTGAAATTTCTAAGGAACAGCATTCATTTATAATATTTTATTTATTATTTTAATAATATAAAAGTCTTTACTGTCACTTTTGATCATCCTGCATCCTTGCTGAAAAAGATTATTACATTCAGAAAACATCTTACACACCTGAAACTTTTGAACAGTAGTGTGCCTTATTCAGTCGAGTTTTGTTTACTGCAAAAATTATTTTCTTAATCAGTATTTTTGTCTCGTTGTCTAGTAAAATCATCTTTATAATGTTTTTCTTTCTTGATTAAACCTCCATAAACCTTACAACAATAAAGTTACCTAAGTAAAACAAATAAAATAAAATGAAGGTGTACTTTCTGAAATCAAGTCTTAATATCTCAACTTCTCAAGTAAATGAATTTTGAAAATAACAAATTGATTTATCTATTTATTTTGGAATGTTTGTATCTATCTCTGATGACACTGAATATAAATTCAAATAAACCCTTTATTACCATATCAGGTCCAGTCGAGGTCAAAGCTGATGAGTTTCCGCGGCATGGCAGTAATATTGATGCTATGTCCAAACTGAAGCCTTGTTTTGTAAAGGATGGCTCTGGTACAGTGACAGCTGGCAATGCATCAGGTAAATGGTGACATCTTTGACACTCAATTATGACATTTTCATTGCGTAGAGACAGTAATGTTTTTTTTCCATTGGTTTTTGTTTAACAGGCATAAATGATGGAGCTGCAGCTACTGTTCTCATGAGCCAATCAGAGGCCCAGAGGCGGGGCTTAAAACCAATGGCACGCATCACGTCCTGGGCTCAGGCAGGCCTTGACCCTTCAGTCATGGGTACAGGGCCAATTCCAGCCATTAGAAAAGCTGTGAGTATCTGTTGAGTCATCACAGGGCCTAATTCATCCACATGAATGAAGAATGGATTCTTGTATTCAGTGCTTATCCTGAAATAGCAGCCAGGGGACCAATATAATCCAATAAAACCCCAGATTTACAATTGGGTTCATATTATAATATGCTTTCTAACCAGGTTGATAAAGCCAGATGGAAGCTTGATGAGGTTGATCTGTTTGAGATAAATGAAGCATTTGCTGCTCAGTCCATTGCAGTGGTAAAGGAGCTTGGTTTAAACCCTGATAAGGTGTGTTATTTCTTCCACTTTATAAATACTTTTCTTCATGCTTCATACAGCTTTACACAATATTATTTTGACACAGTTTCCCAATGATTTCTGTAGCACAGTGACAAGATTGTAATATCATGATGAGTCTCCATTATTGCAAATATTGAAGGTTCATCTCGCTTGACCTTTGTTCACTTACCCTATCAGTGACCAGACTGCTACATGAAAATGAATAAAATGACCTCTTTGCCTAAGTTAAAAAAATATAATAATAATATTTATGGAAAGACAAATACTCATCTGTCTCATTTTCCCCATGATTTTAGTTTATAGTTAATTTACCACTTCATTTGTCTCTCTTCCTTCAGGTGAATGTGTGTGGAGGGGCGATCTCTCTCGGACATCCCCTCGGTATGTCTGGCTGTAGAGTGTTGGTGACCCTGCTTCATGCGCTTCAGAGGACAGGGGGACGGAAAGGGATCGCTTCATTGTGTATAGGAGGTGGAATGGGTATTGCCATGTGTGTAGAGAGAGAATAAGCGCTGAGTACTGCTGATATAGACAGATTACTTCCACACTGTAATCGTGTGCTTCTAATCAGGCCTTGAATCCAGTTTGTCATATTCAAAACAGATGTTTAAAATCTAAACAGTCTATGATGAGACTAAAGCAAGTACATACTCAAGTCAGTACTTATATATATTGTAAAGGAAGGGAAACCTGTAGTAAAATTCACAAATTGTCAATTCTGGTAAAATGATCTAATGCAGGGCTGTCCAAACTCGGTCCTGGAGGGCCGGTGTCCTGCAGAGTTTAGCTCCAACTTGCCTCAACACACCTGACTGGAAGTTTCTATGCCTAGTAAGAGCTTGATTAGCTGGTTCAGGTGTGTTTAATTAGGGTTGGAGCTAAACTCTGCAGGACACCGGCCCTCCAGGACCGAGTTTGGACAGCCCTGATCTAGTGTATCTGAGGCATTTTCACTTAACACTAATGTATTCCCTTCAGTCTTTTGTGATTTATGGTACATAAAGAGGACTTATTGTATACCAGCATTTAAGACATTCCTTTTCTGTGTTAATCGTCTATGGTTGCTGATTTACTCTTATAGTAGAGCTTCTATTGGTATTAAAACTGGGTCTGTCCATAAGCATATCAACGATAACCTGATAGATTTATGAAAATCATGTTGTGTTGTGTGTTTTAATCCATCAGTTGAAAGGAGTCGATCTGTTTGCAGCAGATTGTAAAATGGATCTAGTACATAGATAAGACCTGTCTACACTGTGCAATCGAAAACTGCCTTAGAAAATTTTAAATGTGCCAAAAAGGCAAAATTAGCCTCTAGCCTGTACTTCCAATAGTCTGCTTTTAATACTCTCTCCCAATGTTAATTTATACCTCAGGGGCAAAGCTGTTTACATATTTAGCCTGTGTTGTACTCTTAATCTTACTGCTTAATAAAGAATTTAATGGAGAGCCCTGTGTCCTACAGTGAATGCAGATGAATTGGACCACTTTTTTAACCTAAAAATGTTTATGCACATTTTCCAAATCTTTACTATCATTACTATCATGCTTTTTGCATTTATTTCTAATATAAAATAACATGGTTATTTAGCAAATCTCAGCTTTTTGTCATTCATGCTACTATATTTTTTTTAGATGTTCAGTAAAATATATATTAGCCTCATGAAATGTTGCAGTTAGCAGCTGTTTAAATCAGTTTACATTAATTGTAAACTGAATCTTAAACAACTATGATGTGGTTTCAACCTTATCAGCCTCATATTACCTCATGTCACCTTACTGTGAGAGATGACAGCGTCGCGGACAATTAACAAAGTAACCAGTAGAGGGCGCCCAATCTCAATGGCGCTGTTGACAATCTCTTCATCGGCCTGTTGAGTCTCAACTATGGTCTCAACTGTCAGTCTAGTAGTACAGGTCTGATTGTTGTCATGAAGTCTAAAGGGTCTAAACCAGTCAAAATGCACATATGACGCCCACATTGTTAATAAATGTACAGACAGTATCATACATTGTACTCAAAGCAATGACACACTATATGAAATGTTAAATATAGATCAGAAAGCACCGAACAGGACGACGCCAAATAGGCTAGTGTGCGCAGGCAGGTAATCGGATTACACCTCTGAGAAACCACGCACGAGCTCATCGTGTACTGTCTCTACTGAACAATACATTCTAAATTTAACGTCTTGTTCTGACTCTCATTCCCAATGCCGCTCTTTATTAATCGAGACCAGATTTTTGCACATCAAGTCCATCTTCTAGAGCACAAACTACGGGTGAGTTTCCTCTTATATTGTCTGAATGTTAAAGAACAGGTGGGCTGGTAAATAACGTAATCTGTTTGAGTCGCTTTGGTTGCATTTGATTTACAGACTACTGTCGTTATGATTTATTGCTATATTATTTGTTTGAGCCGATAATAATTTTAGAAATTGCTATAGCCTATCCTTATAATATAATATAGCCTAATATAATATAATTAATATAATAAGTTCCTACACCTCTAGGCCTATGACCTCCATATTCGTTTTGTTTTTGTGTAAAGCCACCCACAAAAAGTAATGTTATTATTATGCAGTAGAGTACTTTGGTGATATTATGATACTCTTTGGCGTGCATTTGAATACTATGTAAATACCTTGGTATATGAATAAGGTAATTATTCAGTACCATGGTCTATAGGTCTATATCAGGGGTGCCCAAACTCGGTCCTGGAGGGCCGGTGTCCTGCAGAGTTTAGCTCCAGCTTGCCTCAACACACCTGCCTGGAAGTTTCTAGTATGCCTATAAGAGCTTGATTAGCTGCTTCAGGTGTGTTTGATTAGGGTTGGAGCTAAACTCTGCAGGACACCGGCCCTCCAGGATCGAGTTTGGGCAGCCCTGGCCTATATCAAAATACTATAGTATTATCATCCCATACTATTAGTGTTCCATGGTATATCCGCCATAATTGTTTGTATTTTCTTAAGGGATGGCTGTGTCTCAAAATCTATAGTGAGCTGCTGACCTAGGATAGGCAGCCTTTTGTGTTTTGTAGGCTCATTTGAACGACCTATGATGCCCAGATGTGTTGTGTAGGTAGGCAACTCCCTATGATTTTAAGCCACAGTTGTGTCAGGTATGCTAGGCTAGAGGATAGAGAATGACTGATGATCAGTTGAATTTTGTCATTTATTTTACTTGTATTTTATTTTAAAAATACGTTGTACTATTCAATTTTTTTGTATAGTTATATACTTAAATGTAACAATAAGGCCCTCTCTTTCTTTCTCCTTTCAGAGTAAAGAGGAGCGTATTTTGGAGTTGGAAACAGAGAACGCTCTCCTTCATTTGAGACTCGCTGAGGTATGGAAGATGCAAATTCTGTGTGAAATGCATCAAACTCCTCTAATGGGGTTCGACCCTTTGACCTGCCAGATGGTTTCACTGCAAGATGAGTGGCTTGCAGACAGGCGACAGGTGCTCGCCAGTCTCACCTAATTTACTCACGTGCTTAATATCTGTATGAAGTACAGACCAGAAATATACCTTTGGTTGGAGATCCACGTACAAAATATTATGAAAATATTATGATAATATTTGAAGTAGATATGAGTGCAATCCAAATACCATGGTGTATAAATATGATAATCATTTTGTATTATGATAAATTATTTATTTTTTTAAAGAAATTAATAATTGTATTCAGTTAGATGCATTAAATCAATCAAAAATCAGTCAACATGTTTGTTACAAAATATTTCTGTTTCTAATAAATGCTGCTCTTCTGAGCTTTATGTTCAACAAAGACTCCCTGAGAAATATTAAAACTGTTTTCAAAATTAAATAAAAAATGTTTCTTAAGCACCAAATCAGCATATTAAAATACTTTTTAAGGATTATGTGACACTGGAGACTGAAGTAATGGCTGCTGAAAATTCAGCTTTCCCATCACAAGAATAAAATAGATTTTTAAATATATATTAAAATAGAAAAAGTCCTTTTAATTTGTAATGATGTTTCACAATATTTTTGATAAAATAAATACAGCCTTTAAAAATTATTTTTAAAAATCTTAGACTCCAGACTTTTTAACGGTAGTGTGTATCAAAATACCATAGAATTACCATCTCCACAATGTTTTTTGTAAGGTGAAAAAACTATGTAAATGCTCTGATCAGTTTGTATTTGTTCCCCATTGACCTTTCCTTAACCTTTTCAAGTGTCTAGTTAAACTCCGCCATGAGAGGAAGGAGGAAATCCATGTCCAGAGACAGAAACATCAGCAGCAGAGGAAGGTGCAGAAGTCCACACACGCAGCTCTCTTCAAACTTCTGTCTGAGGTTCAGGTGATGGCAAAAACACTGCTTTGATGGCAAAAAAACATTGCATTTCAATGCTGCTCATTTCATCATCATGTGCTCCGTGTTGCTCTCAGATGCTGAAACAGGACTTGAGGGATGTTTTTACCATCTACGTGGGGTTTGCTAAAGAGCTGGAGGAACAAAGCAAGCAGCTGTTTGAATGTGTGGGCACTGCCAGAAATGCTATTCAGGATTTCCAAAGTGATGACCTTCAGAGTGAGTGTGAACTCAAATACTAGTACATCAGTTCATCTGTATTGTCTATGAATATTTGTGTCTCCAAATACACTTAATGAATCTCATTCATTAATTACGTGCACATACACTTCAACTCCGAACCTCAACTCTGAACCTCCATCTCCTCTTCTATTTAATCTTCTGCTCTCATTCCCTTCATTCTTCCCCATCTGTCTCTTCCTTCATCTGTCTCCTTCTCTATCACGAAAGCAGCCGTGTTGTGACAGTAGGTATGTGGTGCAGTGTTCAGAGATTATCCACACTTCCCCACCCCCAGCCTCTCCTCCAGGAAAAGCTTCTGTCAGCAGGGACAGTGAGGTTATGTGTCCTGTGCGTCACCTGCACACCATGGTGACAAGCCTCCCGCAGGGCCTGTGGATCTTATCCCTTGTGTCACTGTGTCTCAAAGTGCAAATGAAAAAATCTTCCTGACAAAAAGCTTTTAAGCATACATTCAAAGATTACAGTACATGGTGATGTTTGTTTGCGTTTTTCCACTGTCACTATATAAGTTTGGCTTTTGATATTGTATTGATCACTACCATTATTGTTTCCAGTGATGTTTGGTGGAATTAATTTAATATTAATTTCTTTGCATTTAGATGTTGACACACATTTACTTCACGTGGCACTATCAACTATCAACAATTAAAAAAAGTATATAAACCTAGAATTTATTAGTCACAGTTTAGTTTGTGATTGTAAACATTCAAAAAATAATAAGTGCAAACAAAGATTTATTATTGTTTTTATTTATGAGTATCTTGTTTGTTACTACTAAATGTTGGGCTGTTATTAAATATAGTCACCTTTTTTCCTGACCATTAGTCATCCAGTGGTCACAGAGATGTAGGTAACCTTCAATTTAGTTGCATAAAGATAATTTAGTGTTCATTTTGTGTCAAAAAGTGTGTACATTTTGACGTCCAAACTTGTGAGTTGTTCAGTTTGTAATTGGTCTGTACGTTTGCACCAGTTTGTCCCTTTCATGCCTACTTGTGGACGACTGCAGACATAATCGCATTGACGTGAAGGGACATTGGGACATTTGACCTGTATTTTGCCATTTCTCCCTCACATTCACATCATGCTTTAGGATCCTAAAAGATAAAGAGCAGAAAACACTTGTTTATTTGGTGTACTGTAGCTATTGGACAGTGTTACTGTAGAAAAAAAATAAGTGATTTACACAATGTTTCATATTGTAAAATGTGGCTTGTTTTGGTTCTGTCAAGTATTTTCTCATTCAGTTTTTTCCTTTGGCTTCCGACAACATTGCTCAATCACTTCTATAGTCAAATCATTAAACTTTCTGACTGCAGTGTCACATGGATTAGTGGTTTCTATATGTTAACACAATTGATCCTGCATTGCTTTGCGCATTCATATGTCAATGTACACAAATAGAGAGTTGTGAAGATTTTTTTCCCCCGTTTTGTTTTCTGCAGACCTCCGGGTTCAGGTGACCGCACTTGAACGCTCTTTACAGGAAGAGAAGGAGAGGTGCAGAGAGGAGCGGGCGAGGAGGAGGCTGCTCCACAACACCCTGGTTGTATGTGGTTCTCTGATTTGATTTACTGTTCTTAATGTATCTATAGATTTAACATTTTGCCATTTATTAGGGAGTACATTGGATATGACATAATGTCATCACCTGCTGTGGTGGCTAAAGTTTTTGAACCCTGAATATTTCAGTTATGAATATTTCAAGTATTTTAGACCAGTTTCCTTAAAAATGACTGTGTAAGCATTCAGGATGATTCAGTTAAACTAAAAATAAAACACATTTCTCTCTGTAGGAGCTGAGGGGGAATATCAGAGTTCACTGCAGGGTGCGTCCAATTCTTCACTTTGATCACATCCCAGGATCACCCACAACCAATGGGTAATGTAATCTAAATACATATTTAATGAATAGTGGTAGATTAATGCATATTAAATTAATAAAAATGTTGAATTTACAAAATTTAAATTCAATCTAATTTAGTAAATTAATAATAAATTGTGATTGAATTTAAATGAAAATATTTCATACAGAAACCACTTGCTTTGGAAATGCGGTATGTCTTGTAGGTGTACTAAATCTCATTTTCCTTTTTAAGATCTTCATCATGTGAAGCAGTAGTGCAGGCGATCAATGATGTGAGTGAACTGATTGTTTGTAGTGTTTATGAGATCTATAAAATTGTAATGGCCTAGTATTACAGCCTACACTCTCTGACCACCCTTGTTTTGCAGGACTCTGTTTTTGTGAATGGCGCCAAAACCTCAAGTCCTGTAATGAACAAAATATTTGAGTTTGAGAGGTATTTAGACACTGCATAAATTGTAAACATTTAAGATGGGAGCTTTGGTGGTGGATAATGTAGCATGTGTTTGTGATTTTTGGGATTTGCAGAGTACATGGTCCAGAAGACAGCCAAGAGACTGTGTTTGAGGAGGTGAAACCACTTCTAACATCTCTACTTGATGGGTAAGTGCTCTATTTAATACAACCAAGTTTAAATATTCACTATTACTTTTAGGGAAGATACTGTGATGAAATGAGTAAGTATATAATATTTATATACAAAAAGATCTCTTCTTCATTTCAGGTATAATGTATGTATCATGGCATATGGCCAAACGGGCAGTGGAAAGACACACACAATGATTGGCTCCCGGTCTGAGGATCCCACAGCTGCAGTGCAGGACTCTCAACAGGGCATCATTCCAAAAGCAGCCAATGAGCTATTCAAGTAAGCCTCGGCTCACAGTTAAAATCACTACACGTTTCACTTATCTACAATATCACAACATTAAGTCTGTCTGTACTGATAAATGTTGCAGGCTGATCTCTGAGAAGCCAGCGGACAGTCATACGGTGGAGATGTCAGTGGTGGAGGTCTATAATAATGAAGTTCTGGACCTGCTGGCCAGAGATGAAGATGGGGCGACAGTTGGGGTAAAGAGAGAGGTCATCACCACCAGCACAGGCAGCAGTGAGGTGCCCTGCCTAACATATGAGTGAGTCACAGCAGTCAGCATGAAGATACAACATATCACACCTTTCAACTTATTGTATTTTAACAGTTTTACAAAATACAATGGTCAGTTCAAATAATAAAGTGCCACTAACTATATAATCATGCATAGGATAACAAAAGTTATCAGCTTCAGTGTTTCCCATACATTGAGTTATTTGTGGCGGCCCGCCACAATATCAAAACTGACCGCTACAAATAGATTTCCCAAAAGGCTTTGGCTTCGTTAAATAAACATGAGCACTGCACGTTTCAAAATTGAAACCCGGTGTGGGTGTTTTTATATCACTGTATTTCTGAAGGAAACTGACTGTCTTCAGAAAATTTTGGATGTCATTTTCATTTCATCTTGCGTTTAATGTCTGATAAATCAGCATTTGTGAGCGGAGCGCTGCTTTGTGTACAGCCATTACCGGGGAAACCTCTATTTCTCCCGCTCTAAGCGCTTCCTGATGGCAGAGAATGAATTTGCATATGTATGCCGCCACAAATAGAGTGTATGTCTGTGGGAAACACTGAACTTTCAAGGTTTCAGTTAGTTAACATTAGTTAATGCATTAGGAATCATAAAATAACAACTATTTTTAAAGCCTTATTAATCTAAGCTATACATATACAATTGTTTACTGCAGGGTTATTATAGTTAAATACAACTGAAACAAAAAACATATATTTTTTTCATTTAGTTTAACATTAAGTACTAAAGTAACTAAAAGATAATATATAAAAATTAAAATAAAATATATAAAAATTTATAAAAACTATACAGACATAAAAAATTAAAACAAAATTATAAAAAAACTAGTTCTGAATATTAATAAAAAATAGTATCTCAATTATACTAAAATAACACTTGTTCATTGTTAATTCATGTTTGTTTATAATACAATAATTATACATTCTGTAAATGTATAGGTATATGTAGAAAATAACCACTTTTACACAGATTTACCAAATTAACAACTTTCAAAAGGGAAGAGAGTATGCTTTCCATATATATTTTTGTTTATGTCAAAGCATTTTTTCTATTCAGCTTATGTCATGTTAATAATTTTACATTATTAATTGATCTATGCAGTTTGTGGTCATTTTGATAAATAATATTTGATGTTTGGGACATTTTGCTCTCTTTTGTGCGATATATTAAACAGTTTTGGTACTGTTTAGATATTTTTGGGTGCATTAATGCATGTGTGGGTTGCATTTACTGTAAGTTTACAATCAGCATTGATTTTTTGTTTGACCTTTTTCATTGTACTTGCTGCATGACTGTCACGGGTTTGCATGTGTTTGACTTGACGTGTGTGTGTGTGTGTGTGTCAGGTTGGTGCGGAGCTCTGCAGAGGTAATGCAGCTGATCAGTTGTGTGTTAAAACTAAGATCTCACAGTCCCACCCTGGTGCACATGGACTCCTCCAGATCTCATTTCATCGTCACCCTCACAGTCACCTCCAAAAGCCCAGATGCACTGGCTCTAGGTATGATATACAGTGTTTCTTCAAGAGTGCCAGTCCCCAACTCATAGGTTTTGAAGCTGTAATGTTCCCTCAAGCCATACGCCGCTATCTGCAGCAGTTATGGCTGTTAAGTGAGACCGAGCGTATTATCTGAAGACGCACACACAAACAATCATTCAAACACCTCCATTTTCTCACACACCCACTGGATTAGTTATCTTCACATACACGCACACACACACACACACACACACACACACTTAAGCACTTTCTTGCTACTTTAAAAAGAGAGCCCAATGCTCATTCCAAAGGTTTCTCAAGATAGCACTGAAAGACCTTTTAAAGGTTGCCATTGGATTCAGGTGTGTAGCATCACAGACATATGGGCGGAAGACGTATAATTCTATAAAATGAATGGAATGGAATGGGACAAATCATATTGATCAATATGGCCTCTGTAGTCCCGCCCTAAAAGAGCTAATCACCTTTTTAATAAAGGTGTAATTTATGTGTGTTGCAGCTCGTCGTCTGCAGAATGCTAGACAGGATGTCCAGCGGGTGTCTCAGAAGGAGTGGTGGAGCCCACGCTGCCGCAGGGCCGCTTCCTCACGCTCATCTAGCCCCGCCTCCTCACCCTGCCACTCGCCATGCCCCTCCCCCCGACCCAGCATCACACAGCCACCCATCAAAACCAAGCTGCAGTTGGTAGACCTGGCTGGGAGCGAGTGTGTAGGTAAGAGGATGCAATGTTGTGCTCCGTCTGTCAAAGAAATCATGAGAACTTACTAGTTAAGCCATTGTACAGTCAAATAAAACACAATAACCATATTCAGTGATAAGGTTTATGGAGTGTTAAATCTCAGACACACACTTAAGCACTTTCTTGCTACTTTAAAAAGAGAGCCCAATGCTCATTCCAAAGGTTTCTCAAGATAGCACTGAAAGACCTTTTAAAGGTTGCCATTGGATTCAGGTGTGTAGCATCACAGACATATGGGCGGAAGACGTATAATTCTATAAAATGAATGGAATGGAATGGGACAAATCATATTGATCAATATGGCCTCTGTAGTCCCGCCCTAAAAGAGCTAATCACCTTTTTAATAAAGGTGTAATTTATGTGTGTTGCAGCTCGTCGTCTGCAGAATGCTAGACAGGATGTCCAGCGGGTGTCTCAGAAGGAGTGGTGGAGCCCACGCTGCCGCAGGGCCGCTTCCTCACGCTCATCTAGCCCCGCCTCCTCACCCTGCCACTCGCCATGCCCCTCCCCCCGACCCAGCATCACACAGCCACCCATCAAAACCAAGCTGCAGTTGGTAGACCTGGCTGGGAGCGAGTGTGTAGGTAAGAGGATGCAATGTTGTGCTCCGTCTGTCAAAGAAATCATGAGAACTTACTAGTTAAGCCATTGTACAGTCAAATAAAACACAATAACCATATTCAGTGATAAGGTTTATGGAGTGTTAAATCTCAGGTCAGATTTTATTCAAGTAAATGAAGATGTGAATAGTGTTTCAGCGCTGATGTTTTGGGATGTGTTTAGGGGTGTCAGGTGTGACCGGTGCCGCTCTGTGGGAAAGCTCCTGTATAAACCGCAGTCTCTCGGCTTTGTCTGATGTTCTGGGAGCTCTAGCCGAAAGACGACCTCACGTACCCTACCGCAACAGCAAACTAACACATCTACTACAGGACGCCATAGGTGAGAGCAGATGTGAAACACCACTATTTTACACTTGTTCCCTATTCTGTCTCAAAAATTCTGTCTTCATCCGTCCATCCAGAAAATATGGCTAAAGACAAGCCTGAATTTTTTATATGCTTGTTTTTTGTACATGTAATTTATAATAGGACAACTTATTTTGACAATGATAAAAATACTATCAGGTAAATATTCAATATAATGATTTATGTATATTATTATTATTTCTCTACAAATGTTTTAATAATGCCATATGTTTCTTTTGCCTGCCCAGGGACCACATATTAAATTTAGCTCTAATTTTCTGTAGATGACTTGTAAATGTATATTGTTGTCAAAAGCACTATATAAGTAAATTTGACTTGACTTAATTCTGGGGCAGTCGTGGACATCCTTTGTCCCTGTTAAATAAATTATGAACTTGAAATGCATACTTTTTGCATTTATTGGCCTCTGAATAAAGATTTTGTAATATTTTTTCCTTGTATATAGTGCATTATGTGAGCTTCCTTTGCTTTTATTTGAACCACAGTTAAAACCTGTTCAACAAGTCAGGTTTTAACATGCCACTTTAAAAGTGCCATAGACGAGGCCTACCTACATTCTTCCCTTCCAAGCCTCACCTGACCATCCTTTTGACGTCTTTTCCTGTCCACAGGAGGGGATGCCAAGCTTCTGATAATGCTGTGCGTATCTCCCACTCAACGCTTCCTCACCGAATCTCTTCAGTCCCTGGGGTTCGGTGCCAGAGCCAGACAGGTTCAGAGAGAGCCCCCACGAAGGAAAAACACGGCTCTGAAGATGAAGTAACCAACAGGGAGATCCATTTAATAGCAGCTTGTGTGTTTTTATTTGTATGAATTTTTGTCACAGGTTTATGGTGCTTAGGTCATTGTTGAAAGTTGCAGTGCTTTGTAAGAACACTTTAGGGTTAAATTTATGTTGATATCATAGTTAATGCTTATTAGTGATTCAGTATTGTCAAGTTACACACAATCTCTTGCACACTGGGGATGTTCCTCTGACAAAAAGTTTACAGGTTTTTGTGTCTAGTGTGAGTGGAATATTTCAGATTATGTGTCTGCAATTAACAATTAGTTTGTACTAAAGTATTGATGTGATGATGAAAAATGTATGGCTTTTAAGTAATAGTGTTTGCAACCTGACTCTAGTTGACCTTATTTACTGCAAAGTAACTTAACGCCTTTCCAATGTATCACTATTTGTAAATGTTCAAAAATGCTTTAGATTTAATAAAACTTAAAATAAAACAGTAAATCATGTACATCCGCTATTTTCTTTCTAATATTTTGTCCCATTGTTGCAAAGGGCACTGATGTAATTTTTCTTCCCCAGAGTAGTGTAGAGTTGCTGAGTCGTGCCCTTCTTTATTTACATATTTGTCACAACCAATCGGAGCCTTCTCATGCGTGATGTAACATAAAAACACGGAAGTGTCAGTGTAAGCGTTACTTAAGCGGAGACTTGTTACATAGCGTCCGTAACTGCATCTTCTTTATCTAGAAGTTATAACACGCCTGTCTGTGACTGTATATAGGCTACTGCGTTTGCATTTTAGCGCTCAACGGCGGACAGGTGAGTTTATTTACCACTGCAATCTCAGAACGTAAGTGTATAAAATAGTAGTAGTTTGATTTCAGCGCAATTTGGCAACATTTGGAAAGACGTCGCCAATATTCATCCGTGTGCACTTTTTATTAGGTGTATGAGGGAAAAACATGGCCGCTAGTGTGTGGCGAGATAGTTACTGCTTACAGCATGTCCAAACTTAAACTAACTGATTTAAGTTGTATTAACATTTAATTATTAGCTAGAATAGTTCATACATATTGATAGCCTTGTCATAATCATGTTAGAGTACTATAAAATCCCATTTACGTCCAAACGTACTGGACATGTTCTAAAATGGGAATTCACTCAATGTTGTAGGGAAAAATAAATATCTCCCAATTTTTCCCCACGTCCTTTATACAAATGTATAAAGATATTTTAGGTTAAAATATGAAGTCATTACAAAGATTCATCTGGTGTCAGGTGTGGAGCTTCATTCTGATGTAGAGCCATTTCTAAATTGTATTTTGTCTAAATTGATTGCAACTCTGTTATTACAGTTTTACATTTTGAACAGCATTACAGTGAAGATGCTTAAAGCCATCGGTCAAACTTTCTTTTCTTCTGGACTCCAGCACCCAAAAGTCACTGCTCAACAGAGTAAGGTTAGTGTGTGTGTTCATGTGTGATTTTGCCAGAAACCTTCCAGACTTTAGTGCAGACTTTGGATTTGTTAATATTTACTTATTGCTTATTAGCAGAGCTAATGCTTATTTTTTTAATGTGGTCTGCTCATGTCTAGTTTAAAGCAGACCTTGTTTCTTGTGGTTGGATGTTGTTTAATGGCTCAAATGTTTCCAGTCATATTTGATGAATAAATGCTTTTCAGGGTGAAGACTATGAGGTCCGCACTTACCACACAACAAACTGGGTCAGCACAGCTGTGACTGGCATGGAGCAGGACCCGGCCTTAAGCACAGGCTTCAGAAGACTCTTCAAATACATTCAAGGGAATAATGACAAGAGTAAGTGGTCATGTTCCTGTAGAGGACTAGAAAGAAGATTTTTTCAAGATGAGTACTTTCAGCCATTATTGCCACATTTTGGGCCTGTTGTGTTTATGGGTGAGAAATCTCATGCATAAAGCCAAAATTCAGTTGTGTAAATTAAGGTTTTCGGGTCTGCTCATGTCTAGTTTAAAGCAGACCTTGTTTCTTGTGGTTGGATGTTGTTTAATGGCTCAAATGTTTCCAGTCATATTTGATGAATAATGCTTTTCAGGGTGAAGACTATGAGGTCCGCACTTACCACACAACAAACTGGGTCAGCACAGCTGTGACTGGCATGGAGCAGGACCCGGCCTTAAGCACAGGCTTCAGAAGACTCTTCAAATACATTCAAGGGAATAATGACAAGAGTAAGTGGTCATGTTCCTGTAGAGGACTAGAAAGAAGATTTTTTCAAGATGAGTACTTTCAGCCATTATTGCCACATTTTGGGCCTGTGTTTATGGGTGAGAAATCTCATGCATAAAGCCAAAATTCAGTTGTGTAAATTAAGGTTTTCTGTGAGATATCTGGATATGCTTTTATAACAATAAAAAGCATGTGACGGGTTGTGTTCCCACAGAGTAAACTGTGTTAATGATTCACCAGATGACACTGTACTTGCAAAATATCAGATATTTTTAGCAGATATTTCAGACACTAAGAACAGTGCATGTTTCCGCACCTTTTAATTAATGAACCACCTCGGATATCGGCTTTATTTGAGTGCTTTTCCTGTACGTCATGTATCAGAGTGTAAGGTGGAGATGACAGCACCAGTGAGCTGTATGATTGAGCCTGGTGCTGGACCCGCTTGTGAGAGCACCTTCACTGTGTCCTTCTACATCCCTGAGGAACATCAGGCTGACCCACCCAAACCCACTGATCCAGATGCTTTCATCGAGAACAGAAAAGAGGTCACGGTTTTTGTGAGGTATGTTTGTGATGAGGGCTTTCAAATTGTCGGATGCATTAACAATAAGAACAATTTGAATTTTGAAAAATAAAAATAAAAAATGTATTTCAAGTAAACGGTGCTTCAGTTTTTATCAGTGAATCCTGAATAAAACAATGCAGTTTCCATAAAAATATTAAGCGGTACAACTTTTCAACACTGATAATAAAAAATGTTTCTTGGCCACAAAATCAGCATATTACAAGTATTTCTGAAGCATCATGTGACACTAAAGACTGGAGTGATGACTGCTGAAAATTCAGCTTCGCCATCTCAGGAAGTTTTTTTTTTTAATGTATTAAAATAGGACAAAAAGTTATTTAAAATTTTTATATTTCACAATATTACTGTTTTAACTATTTATTTGATGAAATAAATGCAGTCTTACTAAGCATAAGATCATTCTTTTATAAACATTCAAACTTGTTACTCAACTTTTGAATGGCAATTTATTTTTCAAGGGATTTTATATCTAGGTCAAACCGAGTATCTTGGAACAACTACATTACTGCATTCTCTAGTTTAAAATAATATTGTTGTCATAGCTTCGTTTTTTTGCAGGACCTATGGAGGCTTTGCTAACAGTGAGAGCAGCCGTGCTGAGCTTCTGAAACTGATAGAGAGCCTCAAGAGGGATGGGATGAAATTCAAGGAGACTCCGTTCTACAGAGCGGGATATGACAGCCCCTTCAAACTGACCAACCGCAGGAATGAAGTGTGGCTGATCAAAGATGAGGAATAAAAGTCCTAACGATCACATGGTCATGCATTATGATGTGAATGAAGGAGGTGGTCAATTTATTTGTTTGAACTTAACAATAGTTATTGTGCAGATGCTTTGTTTACTATGTACCGCAAGTGCCTGAATGTTTTTATATGAGAATTGAACACTGTACTAATTGTATATCTGACCAATATTTTACTGCAACATTTTTAGGTACCGACAGTTAACTGCGAAATTATACAAAAAGAATGTTGAAATAACTTCTAATTAGCTGTCAGACTGACACATTGCCTAAATCTCACTAATAATGTCTAAGGATCAAGTACTGCACAACTTGAGTTTAACTTTTTTTAAATGTGAAATATGTATAATGTCATATGTATTTTGAGCTTTTTATACTGCACTGAATCTTGAATCTAATAATTTAAGGGAACAATAACATTGTATCAACTTGACAACTTGTATTTAGTCATTTTGGTCTTAAAATAACCTGTACACATTTTTAAACGCGGCCATCTATTGGTTAAAAAAATATAACCGAACGCATCTTGCCAAAGCTCTGCTGGCATGAATGAGTAGTATTATGCTGCCACACCTGAGACTGCAGTTTCAGGACCGCAGTCCTAGGAGTGTTTTTATTTTATTTTCTTAGTGTACTTTTATAGCACTATTCAATTCTGTATTTGTATCATGAATACTTTACGCACATTTGAGAAATGATCATAGTAACAACATTTGTGACCCTGGACCACAAAACTTAAAAAACATTTTTTTGAAATTGAGATTTATGCGTCATCTGAATGCTGAATAAATAAGCTGTATTATTGATGTATGGCTTGTTAGGATAGGACAATATTTGGCCAAGCTACAACTATTTGAAAGTCTGGAATCTTAGGGTGCGAAAAAAAAAAAGTTGTCCAAATGAAGGTCTTAGCAATGCATATTACTAACCAAAAATTAAGTTTTGATATATTTGCGGTAGGAAATTTACAAAATGTTACAAAAGGAGGTTTTGTGGTCCAGGGTCACATATATAAAATCAAAGTTACATGTAGGTTTCAGTCATAAACAGAAACATGTCGTGAATTTATTTTGATTTTGGTCATTTTAAACTACTAACAGATCCAGACAAGAGAAGAAAAAAAAGTACTTTATCTGATAAAGGACATAACCTCAGGTGCTAGAGAACTCTTACAAGGCCAAACACACTGCACCATCATCAGGTTTATTTTCGAGGTAACGGTTGCCTGAATATCATGTTCACAAGCTCAGCACAAAAGATGACGTGCATGTGGAGAAACAAGGGGCTTACTTCCATCTCTCTGTTGCAGGCGAATCATAAACAAGGATTCATGACGTCTGTCGTGCTAGAACCTCTAAAGATCAGATGGGTCCAGGTCACTGTATCGAGCTTTAAATGACGGTCAGTAGGACAGAAAGTGGGGTTGATGACCCTGCAAAGCCTCTGGAGCTGATGTACGGCTCTGGGTGTTATAGTGACAGTGCTAATGAGATTGTGGTTTGGGCTGGCGGCTGACAGGTGGCAGTGAATCAGAGACAAGACAGATGGGCAATTTTTAAATACCACCATGTTTTATTACAGAGACATACTCTAGAGGGTTAGCAGCTTGCTTCCTCTTTTCCATCGTTCTTTTTCTGATCCGTGTTTCCATCAGTAGAATGGGTGAAGGAACAAAATAGAAGTTCTATGTCCGGTGAATCTGAATTTAAAGACCACAAATCTGTAGGAGGTCCCGTCTAATCACACCTCATTCACCTCCCTCTCAAAAAGCTCACTTCCAGATACAGTATATCAAACCACATTCTGGCTATTCTAAAATAAATACTCTACAAAAGGAAGCCACTCCTAGCAAAGGTTTCTAAAATGTACAAATTATTTGAAAATAAGATCAGGTGTTACTTAACATTTCTGTAGGTATATACATAAAAAACATTATAAAACTGCACAGAAAAGAAAACGCTTGACAGGTAAACAGGAGGATTAGTCATTAAGCGGTTACTTTCGCTAGATGTTAACAGAACAGAACTCAGGCTGAAAAACCCCCTCACATTTCAGCAAGTTAAGAGTGTCCCGTTCGGCTCTTTGGTAACCAAAACAATTACAAGTAAACCGGTCATTTGTTTCAAGTAAGATGTCGGAATTAACTTTAAAATAACCAACACAGACAATGCTTTTTAAATGACAAATAAAAGAAGACGATGAACACAGTACAAACCTACACACCAAAAACCAAACATAAATGCTTCCACAAACAAGCCTTCGTTACTCCAATCCCAATTCAATTTCCATTCCAGACACTTCCGTTGGAAAGACACCCACTTGTAGGAATCGGTCGGAGTGCTATTTATCTTGGGTCTTTGAAGACCGGCGTACTCAAGCGGTAAGGCGCTGACAGAGCTGCCTCGCTGAAGTTTGAGATGTGACGCACCACAAAAAATCCATCAACTTGGAACTACTACAGCCAAAACAAGTAGTCACATAGTAATTCCTTCATTACAACTTTCGTTAACTGCTTCACCAAAAAAAAGAAAAACCCCACACAAATCTGACTGTTACTGCTTAAGAATGGAAATAAAAATCTGAACAACATAAAAGAAGTAATTGCTAAGCTTTGGAAAGATGAGTCTAGTATTGCCACTGAAAGCGGAGTTCTCTCCAAAAAGAAGGTCAGATTGGATTGGTTACTTTTTTTCCTGAAGAGCTACAGATACAGCAATATCTCGTCTACTGCTTGAGCTGACTGCTTGAGCTACCTTAGATCCACAAGTCTTAGCCCACACTACAACATCAGACAGTGCTGCCTGGATTAGTGGGCGGCAAGACCTTCTAGAGTTTAGCCTCTCCTGGTCTTCTGCCCTCAGTCAATCTCTGGTGCCGAGAAGGCGTTCTGCCTTTGCCAAGGAGCTGTTTGGTATCCTAACTGCTGCTCTGCTCACATAAAGTGCTGTTGGAGTCCTGAGAGATGGGAAGGGGCATGTTTGATGGAGGAACAGGGCATGGGTCTTCACAGTCGGTGAGTTCCCCATCCCTCTCGCAAATAACAGTCATGGGGCTGCTGAGGATCCGGCTGCGGGTGTTATACTTGCTGCTGGCGGCGGAGGGCGGTGTGCGAGATCGGCCGTACTTCGGACCGATTAATGATGGGGACGTTGAAAACATTCCCTCGTTGCGTGCCCAGTCCTCGGGCGTCCTCTTGTTCCGGCCTGGTGAAGAGCAGGGGCTCTCGCCCGTTGGAGATGCTGGATCGAATGAGGAGTCGAGAGAGCGAGTTCTCTGAAAGCGTGGGTCGGTGCTGCGCAGCATCTCTGCAGCAGACATGCGGAAGCTGGTCTCGGAGCGACTGCCTTTCTTCAGCAGGAGGGCCTTGAAGGTGTCGCTGCTTGTTGCGGATTTGCGCAGGCTGCGCTGGATGGAGCCCATTTGCCGTGGCAGAGAGGAAGTCAAGCCGGGGGGCGTTCCTGTAGGGGTGGCCGGTGGGGATAAAGGATGTCGTGAACAGTCCTCTTCGGATTCCTTGCGGCCCAGGACCTTCCGCTTCGACCTGGAGACAAAGATGAAGTAATGTCAGGTAAGTTGTTTTGTCAAAAGAGAAATAGGTAACACTTTATTGTAAGGTGTCCTTGTTACACGTTACATGTACTTACTATTATAATAACAATTATGCATAATTACATGTAAGTAACCCTAAACCAAACCCTTATCCTAACACTAACCATATGTAGTAAGTACATAAGTAGTTAATTAATATTACTCAGTACTTAAATGTATAATTACACTGTAACAAGGACACCTTAAAATAAAGTGTAACCGAGAAATAAAGCAATGAAAGCCAAAGAAGGGATGCACAATATCAGTCAACAAAAGTCAACACTTAGTTCATCTTTAAAAATATAAATTAGTAACACTGTTAAATGTAATTTTTCAGCAAATCTGTAGCAATACTGTACATTATAATGCTCTGATGCCTAAATTCACTTCAGCATTTAAAACAATTGGTTTTAATTTTTAGTGTTTTGATAGTGTAGAATTTTAATATTATCTCTTTATCAATTATTTTAAAATTGAGAATTTTAAAATCGTGCATCCCTAAACCAAAAGTAATTTTTTTAAGTATTAGCTAAAGCTTATATTAGTTAGCAGTAGGCAGTAGAACATCAGTTCATTTAGTACAAACAAAAAAGTTGTTTGATTTTTTTTTTTTTTTTAACCATTGTTTAAAGACAAATCTATTGACAGAGCTGCCACTTAATGAAAATGCTTCACTTCAGTTAACAACTAATCTAACTACTCCTGAAGCTGAATGACTTGAATAAGATTTGAGTCCATTTTTGTGATTAATGTTTTCAGTCTTGATGAGCCTATCCCCTTCATTGATTTCTGTTCCACTTTCTCATTAAACTCAGCTAGCCCCCAGCAAACCAAAACTTCACTTCACTTGGAAAAGCAGGAATAACTTAATGGAGGATATAAATAGAGGGAGTGTGTGTGTGTGTGGGGGGGGGTTGTTAAATTCAGTGCTTTAAAAGCCAAACCAAAGAGGAATACTGCAAGCGTTGCAACTTTATGGAAGTGCAGACATAATGGAAGCTTAATCAACAAAGCAAACTGGGCAAAATGCCCAGCATCATTTTAACCTGGAGGGCTGTTCATTCACCCAACCAGTAGGAGAACCTTGGGTCAATGAACACTAGCATGTGTGCCCAGGATCAAATCAAATTCATTAGCATGGCATAACTGCTGCAGATTAGGGAGCGTGGGATTATCTGCGGGATGGAGCAGAAATTCATCCCAAATCTTAGATGCGCTGGGAGATTATAGAGCTAATCCCACCCGAGCATCATCACGAGACGAACAGCCATGGGCTAATTACTTGCCAGACCGCACCTCATATGTTGGGGGGTGTTCATGTTCAACTGGTCCAGGCTGAACGAAAGAGAAGGAAAAGGAGGATGGTAGAGATCAGGGAAGACCAAGGACGAAGAGAACAACAGATATGACAGATAGTGGGAAAATTACAAGGGATGTGGAAGCAAGAGTTGAAAGTTTCAGATATACAATATCTAAAAAACAATACCTAAAAATCCTAAACAAATCCTTTAAACAAGATAAATATAAAAAATGCATATATGGATATATATCTCCTTAAAACAAGATAAATTTACTTGAGAAGCCAAATTGCATAAGGTGCAGAGACTATTCATTTGTTATATTAAAACACAATTTTCGTTTTAAGATTACAACTGTAATAGGATTACATTTTTTAACCAGAATTTATGCTTATCTTGTTTTAAGCCTGTTTATATATTTTGAAATACTGAATCAATACC